TCGTGAACGGCCTCAAAATGCCATTCTCGCAAATGCGAGGATCCACGGTACTGGATTCTTCTCCGGGATTTGATCGAAGATGTTCTTCGTGAGGGCGACGAAGCCCTGGTGGCTGTCGTCATCGCCGTCCACGCACCACGTCTTGATCTGGCATGAAATCAAAGATGTCTTTCGCAGTGGCCAAATCCCCCCTCTGGTAGTCACCGCTGTGCTGGTGAAGGGGAACCGATGGAACATCCTGTCATTCTGGGCGTAGCACAGTAGTAGGACACGAGATCCTTGGCCGACATTTTGTCGAAGGTCGATTTCGCTGCCAGAATTTGCCCCTGGTGCGCGAGCGCCATTACCATCGAGTTCCATGGCGCTCTGAGAAGCAATCAAACATAGACTCTCAGTCACGGATCCGGGATGCTGCCACATGCGCGGTTCCAAGAGACGGAACTCCGTGTTCTTGTAAAGCTCAAGATGCCCGGACTGGGCATACAGTGTAATGAGTGCAACCACGTCATGATCCGGCATAGAATCGAAGATCTTCGAAGATGGCTTGTTTGAGCATTGAAGTTTAAATTGATCCAGGCACGCTATTGATTAGCAGCAAAGGTAAGTCCAAGGCTGGAGGTACTTTCAAATCCTGGGGAGCTTGAGATTTCATCAAGGCACTTTCTTGTCGTGTTCCTAGCAGCAACAAACAAGACAGAGATTGATGCCACTAGGACCACATATCCTTCGAGAATGTCTTTATAAGCCTCGGAAAAACTTATGCTGCACTCATGTCCTTAAGTTTAAGGTGTTAGCCATGTAGATCGACATACTGGATCCACCTCTGCCCAAAGATTCGAAAAACTCCATGAAATTTCAAGTCACACCCACAAGGTTCAGTGTGTGAAGAAGAGGGAAAATACTCGAGGCCGAAAGGTGGCTGTCCTTCACAAGAGTGGTTAGAGCGAAAGAAGAACCGTGGAAAAGCAATGCTTGTGAGTCTAGTTTGAAGATTGGGATCCCCGGACAAGTCATGAAAACTGAAGAGAAGAGAGTCGATCAGCTCGACTAACAGAGCTACATTCTTTATTTCATGAGATTTGCACAAGCGCCCCCGCCGGGAGCAGCCGGTCGTCATCGAGGCACCATGTAGTTAATGGCAATGGCGGTGGTTTTCCATGGCATTGTTCTTGAGCACAGATTTCTGGGGGGGGCCAAGCGCATCCACCAGGAAAAACGTCTCCAGCGGCATTTAGGTTCCTTGTCATGGAAAAGTGTATGGAAAGTGCGGGCGCGCAGCGGACGTCTTGGGAGCCTTCCACAAGATGGAAGATTGAGATGTTTTCTCGTGGCGATCGCGGCATTTGCCCACAACGGGCAAATGTGCATCCGAATTCTCTTGGCAGCTATCAATGTCGATCCAACGGAGATCCATGCACTCGTCTCGTCGCTGCATCACCCTTGCACGTATGTTTGTTTATTCTATTTTTATTATTTCAGCCCTCTTTCTTCGCAAACACGAGATGAATAGAGACCCTTACTTGGCCTTGGATCTGGATCCACTTAGTTTCAAATGGCCGATCAAGGTAAGAAACTTTGTTTACCTTTGGGCATTGTACAAGTCCTCGTACTTGCGGCACTTGCTTCCATCAGCTGCCAGACCCCGCTGCTCATTGATCAGCTTTCAGGTGTTAGCAATTTGCCACCATTCTCAAAGAACTAATGTTTGACTTTCTTATCGGTTCGCAAATTCTTCCCAGGTCACCAGTAATCTCTACGTACCGTTGCTGAAGTGATGGAACCGGCAAGGCGTCTCCCACAGTTATAGATTGTCCCACCATCTTGGACACAAAATTCTTCATGATCCTCAGCGGCAACCCTTGGTCCCTGGTGATCAATCCAAAAGCCACAACGCTGTGGTAGTGCAGCAGCTCCTCCTTTTGCTCCTCCCTACGCTCCTCAACGATGTCGTCGCTGTGACCATAAAGCTGTGAACTTCGCTACCAAGTCGAACGATGTTGCTGATCCCTGGAACTTTTCTCACTCGCCTCGACTGAGACCTTATCCCACCTCACCTCCCAATCGACGAGTACATGTTTGAGAGAACAACGTAGGCAGTTGTGTAGCAGGGCTCCAGTGCTTTCGAAGATCTTCACTGCAACTCTCTCAGCACAATCGGCTATGGAGGAGGCAAGCTCCCAACAGCAACATCCGGATCACGACATCTGGAAGGAATGGCATCGAGTTTGACGAGCTCCTCCGCACTCAGAGTTGTCCCGGATCGACCAGGACGTTGATCATGAAGAAATATAGAGTGCCCTCTAGTCGCCACCATCTCAAAGTATTGGCTGATCAAGACGAAGTGTTCCCAGCTCCTTGGATGCCACGCCTTCTGTCATACTCTAGCACACCAATATGTATATAATTGACTTAATACCAGTAAGTATTGATAATTATCCACAAAGATCATACCTAGGCTAATCGGCTTGCCAGAGAGACAATAGCTGCTACAAAATATGAGATTTATCATGCTACGGTCAATCAGAGAATTCCACGGGTTACAGAATGCAGATGCGGTGCACATCAATAGAAGTG